GCCACCCTTAAAGCTATTTCAGTTATGCCACGGCCTGTTCCACTTTTTAAAGTCCCCGAGCAAGGTGCTAACAAACTACATATCACAATCAGGGTGAATTGTTGATTCGAAGCCACGATCATAGGACTCCGACGCGTCTAAGGGACGCAACTCTGTAGAGCGAATGTCAGTTCCTTAGAAGCCATAGAAGACTTCCAGAAGAATTGTCACTTTAAGACAACGCTGAAGTGATACAGAGGCAATTCGGTGTACAGAGTTGCGTCTCATGGGCACGCCAGAAACCTGCAATCGCGGGCTCGATTACCGATTCTCCCCGATAATGTTTCTAGGTTGGTCAGCACCATGCAACGTCTTAGACCTGCATCACTTCGGGCTTTCCCCCCACATCAAGCTGACACGCAGCGATAACTGGAATATTGTTCAAAGCGGCGTTAAACCCAAAACACTCACTCAGTGATATTACATTTTTTGTGAAACAAGTGACGTAACCAAATGCGTATCTTGTGTTTTATCACAACCTTCCCTTGAGATCTTCGACACACTAGTACTGTCACCTTATGACATGTAAAGGTCATTTGACTATTTGACCTCGATGTAAGCTAATTGGACGCACGTTGATAGGTGGGTGAAATTAAATGGCCCCGAGGTAAGATTTGGTACTGAACACGGGCGTAAGGAACCAACTGCCTTTGTTGAAGAATCTAGACGCCTTGATTTTTCAAATGTCATACAAATTACTATGATAACTGCTGCCCCACATTCGAAGAACCCTAACATCCCGACTAACATGTGGTTCATGGAGTCTTAGAGGTCGGCAGAGTGGGGTTCTTGTACTGCTTGACGTGACATGGCATTTGTACTTTGGCATACCTCGTGGTGTTGTTTGTTAATTAGCTTGCGACAATTCTTTTCAAAACCCAATTCAAGAACTGTGCATATATTAAATTATTAAACGCTGAAGACAATTGAAGACATCTCGGATTATTCGTTGTTAGAGTCTTTGAATGAGGGAGTGTGAGTGGAGGAGGCTTTACGCCGCTTTTAAGCAATATTCCAGCAATATCACGACAGGGACACAAGATATGACACATTGTACCGATGTGGAGTGAGTGAGTGAGTGAGTGATGCTGGACTCCGATAATATGCTGTTCATGGACAGCGGCAAGGTAATAGTGAGTGAGTGAGTGAGTGAGTGAGTGAGTGAGGCCTTACGCCGCTTTTATCAATATTCCAGCAATATCACGACAGGGACACAAGATATCACACATTGTACCGATGTGGAGTTCGAGTGAGTGAGTGAGTGAGTGAGTGAGGCCTTACACCGCCTTTATCAATATTCCAGCAAAATCACGGCCTGGACACAAGAAATCACACATTGTGCCCATGTGGAGTGTGAGACTGTTCTACAGCACAACACTAATGCGTTTTCTTAAAAAAATATCGTATTTGAATTCTAATATTTTTTAAATCTGATTGGTTTTGTTCAAGCATATTACTGTATGTATCACTCAAATATATATTTATTTTTAAGTGACTCTGGGGCTAATAAACCCGAGGTTATTCTAATATAATATGCCGCCGATAAAAACTGTTTTAGGACATTAAGTAAACCATCTTAAACGATATCGCGAGTTATGAAGTTTTCACTGTTAATTAGAAGTTGTGGAAAAAGGCAGTTACAATACGTAAACCTGACGCCGCAAACGGTTATCGGTGAAATTATCTAATACCATGGTACAAATTCACGTCTGGGCCCGAAATGAGCTTTGTCCCGTAATGTGATTTGTTTGTTTGTTTGTTGTTTAACGCCGCACTCAGCAATATTCAAGCTATATGATGGCGGTCTGTAAATAATCGAGTCTGCACCGGACAACAAAGCAATTGAGATCATGAACATAGATCCACGCAATTGGGATACGATGACATGCCCCAACCAAGTCAGCGAGCCTGACCACCCGATCCCGTTACTCACCTTCCACGACAAGCAGAGTCACCTTTTATGGCAAGCATGGGTTGCTGAAGACCTATTCTGACCCGGATCTTCACGGGTTTCATTAAGTATGAAGTAGTAAAGTATAAAGTAGTATAATAATTAATTGTATTACCATTTATGAAAATACATGCCTGTTCAATTTTTATGCGAAAATGTTTAAGTTATGAGATATCCGGGACTCGTATGTAGGGTAGTAAAAACAGTGACAACTTTTTCCCTGGAACTAGTCCTGGAACGAGGGCGTACAACTCGAATAAGTGACCATAATAAACAATAGCGGTGATCAGTGAGTGAGTGAGTGAGTTGGGTTTAACGCCGCTTTTAACAGTATTCCAGTCATATCACGGCGTGTCAGCTTAATGTGGGAGGAAAGCCCGAAGTGATGCAGGTCTCAGACGTTTACCACTTCGGTGAAACCCACGAGCACGGGTATGGTGCTGACAAACCTAGAAACATAATCGGGGCGAACCGGGATTCGAACCCACAATCATAGGTTTCTGGCATGCCCAAGGGACGCAACTCTGCACAGCGAATCGCGGCGCCTTAGACGACTGGGCCACCCGTGCCCCCAGCGGTGATCAGACTGCTTCCTTGAGATAAATTAACATCGTTATAAACAGATGAGGCGTACACAGTTCGAGCAGTGTATTTGCCCATGGACAAATAATGCATTTGAAAGAGAATGGCTCAGAACGAAACAGGAATTACATGTTTGCACTACGTGGCTGTGTAGGACCCAAATCCCGTAAACCAGTACACGACTGGGCAACGCCCTATCGAAAGTCCATGCTTTTTACGAAACAGTTGAAGCACGCCCTGACTCATAACGTTGGGCTTACTCTTACAGCTCTGATTGATGACTACATGGGCAAATTATCCCTCAGGAATATCGACCTTGTAATGCTCTGTGTACAGGGTTCGATCTGAGATTAAAAAAAACATGGCTTTCCTATATCATGTACAATTAGGTGTAACGGCTTTCATCCTGGAGTAAGACGTCGCTTCCTGGCCTGTGATGAAATTAATTGTATGGGTACAGTTAAACCTCCGTGTTCCGGACGCTCCTTATTCCGTGTCATTGCGGTTAAGTGCAAACGTCAACGCCAGAGAATAATCCGTCTCGATTATTTGCCGTAAAAGGCAAAATAGTAATACAAATTGTTTTGATCACTGAGCAAAAACCGATGGTGACCCTAGGTGGCCGCGAAAAGGGATGTCCTTCTCTACTGGTGGTACTGCACCCATACAATTGTCATAAAAAATTAAAGTGTTGGATGCAGAACGCCGCACCAAGAAATACTCCTGCCATATGACGGCAGAATGTAAAAATCAAGTCGGGACCTGACAATCCAGTGATCAGTATCGTGAACAATGGTTCAGTCTCGATTACCTGAAAATCAGTGATGACACCAGGTGTTCGCAAAAAGGGTAAGCATGTTCTACCGGACCGGTCGCACTCGTCACTAACACAATATGAATACAAATGATTTTGTTTATTGCCCGACGCCGCAGTCAGCAATATTCCAGCTATATGACGGCGGTCTGTAAATAATCGAGTCTGGACCAGACAATCCAGTGATTGACAACATGAGCATCGATCCACGCAATTGGGATCGATGACATGCATCAGCGAGCCTGACCACCCGATCCCGTTAGTCTCCTCCTAAGACAAGCATAGTCGCCTAACACTCAAGTGATGGATCAGAAACTCTACTTTAATAAAATAAAAACGATACGTTAATAATGAATTACGTCTGCAAACCAAAGAATCTATTGTTTATAATACTGACAAATCGACGAATGGTTGTTACTTTTTGATATCGCTGTATAAGGGGGCTCATATAAGGCTGCTTAAGGAGGTAACATTTGTCACTACGATTTGACAGTTTTATGCCGGGGTCAATTTCCCTCGAGATGAACTTAATGACTGCTATTGAAGGGTATGTTACCTTACCCGTGAATAGGTCTTCAGCAACCCATGCTTGCCGTAAAAGGTGACTATGCTTGTCGTCAAAGGCGACTAACGGGATCGGGTGGTCAGGCTCGCTGAATTGGTTGATGCATATCATCGATCCGAATTGCGTGGATCTATGCTCATGATATCAATCACTGGATTGTCTGGTCCAGACTCGATTATTTACAGACCGCCGTCATATAGCTGGATTATTGCTGAGTGCGGCGTTAAACAACACACCAACCAACCAACCAACCTTACCAGGGATTAACAATATTAGAGATTGTCAAACAATATACATATTAGTGGAGTTTGCATATCAAGTAAAAATATCAAGAGCACATGTTGTAGAATGGGGCCAGATCGTTTTTCTTATTGAGAATATGTTCAATGTATTCTCTACCATGCCAAAGCTCAGAAATGTTGGTGATGCGGTTATCGTGGTTTATGATATCTCAAGGCTAATATATAGCAAATAGCATGATCTTGTCATATCCCAGGGAATAATCGCATGTCTACTTGCATACATTATAAATGAGCAGCCAAATGAAGCCGGACAATAATTAGATTTGCGGTCACATCAATAGCAACTTCCAAGAGTTCAAGTGGAAAGCTTCTACATGGAAATTAATCTCAGTCGCTTGTCACTGAGCATATATTCCCATGAATTTTGTAAACACAAGAAATTACGAAAACATCCTTCATGAATCGAATCGCCCCCTCTCCCTCGTCTGTAACTTAGTATTTAAGTAATAATATTTGAAATTGATAGTTGTTAGGAACTTAATAAATTAGCAGAGGAATATCAACTTATAAGGAAGGAGTTGAAGAATATCAGCTGGTGAAGTAACTTTCCATAATTATACTGTCACACATTTAACACCAGCGACATGATACAAAACTCAGCATAGTTTTAGGCTACACATTGTTCATAGAAATTCACATTGTACATGATTCAAAATCGAAATAATTCCAGGTTAGTATAACATGGTAGCAACTTGTAACGTGAATGGATCAGAGCCTTATCAATTCATCAATCAATCAACCACTCACCTATATCACCACTGGCGGCGATGACTATAGGCTGCGAGGATATCAAGACTCGGATCTGCCTTAATCGATTTCAGAAACCGTTATCAGGAAGCAGGATGTCTTGTATTCGTCTCCGTTCGCTCAGTCATTAATGCTGTAAGAGACGTCCATCACCTCGACGTCATTCATGAGCTCGCGTATGTCTTGTCACGTGTATTGTCTCCAGCCAATCAGGCGAGACACTAATTCCGGAGGGAATGTTTGCTTTCATCCGATTGGCTGCGCTCTGACGTTAGATAACAAGGTCGTTAACGTCATTTTTTTTAAAGGGAAGCAATCTATTAAATGCGTTTTATTGAGAAGGTTGTGGTGGTCCGATCTGCTCCATGTACCTGTGATAAAGACACTGTTATTTTTCTAAGGCGATACCATCAGGAAACTCAACAAATGACAACCAGAAGCGTGAAAGAAATCCCCTAGGAAAACACAAATATTGTTTTTTCTTCGAACATGAATTCATTTCAATATCATCATGCAATGAATTTTTTTTTCTGACTGGCTGTGTTGATACAGACATTTAATTACTTTTTCATATCAATAAGATAGTGTACAAACGACGATGAATTCATAATGAAATGAAAAATCATGAAGTTATCTGTAAACTGAGGTTCCTTTATATTTATGTCCTTGGTATTGAAGACCAAACTATGCCCCATTGTAACTTAATAGCAGCCCCTATAAGGATTTGAAAAAGAACGGATTTGACAAGTGTTTCCCAGAAGGGTAGATGACTGATCAAACGATGATGAAAGCCAGTATTTTTATTCGTTTTCAATTTTGCATGAACGTTAAGCATGAATATGTTTTGCATTTCATCATTTGTTTTGTCTTTCAGAGACTATTTGTAAAGATAAAAAACTTATTAGACGTTTTAGATAACTTTGGAAAGAGAGACAATGAACATGGTTTTTACGTATGTGGTCTCTGTTTGTTTGTTTGTTGGTTAACGCCGCACTCAGCAAAAATCCAGTTAATGACGGCGGTCTGTAAATATTCGAGTCTGGACCAGACAATCCAGTGATTGACACCATGAGCATCTATCCACGCAATTGGGATACGATGACATGCATCAACCAAGTCAGCGAGCCTGACCACCCGATCCCGTTAGTCGCCTCTTACGACAAGCATAGTCGCTTTTTACGGCAAGCATGGGTTGCTGAAGACATATTCTACCCCGGATCTTCACTATTTGTAACGGCTAAAGCTCTCGAGTTTGAAAATGTGTGAACTTTTTGTTTAACGTCGCACTATTCCAGCTCAATGCCAGCAGCCTGAAAGTACTCGAGTCCGGACCAGTCAATCCAATGACCGATATTATGAACAACGATCCCCGACGTTGGGGTACGTTGACACACCATCAACCAAGTCTCCGAGCGTGATCCCCCAATCCATTCAGTTGCCTCGCATGACAAGCATAGGTGGCCAGGGATCAATTCCAACACTGATTCACCTTGACTACCCAATTTGGAAACCTATCAACAGCAATGGGATGCTGAGTTTGAAAACGTTTTGGACTATTTTGACAACCCTGTCATGAGCAAACAAAGCGGGGTCGTCTAGTGGCTAAAGACGTTTGCTCGTCGCTCGAAAGACCCGGGCTCGATAGCCCACATGGGTACAATGTGTGAAGCCAATTTCTGGTGTCCCCCGTTGTGAAATTGCTGGATGGATAATGCTAAACGCGGCGTAAAACCTTACTTACTTTTCAGTCATAGTCACTGTACAATTAATGCATCAAATGTGATATGAAACTTACATGCTTGTCACGTAGTGACTTTTTTCTTGTAAATCTCAATTTGTTGAATTGACAGTTTAACATCTAAAACCTCATGGACTCATTTATTTTGCAATATCCCTTTACACGATGTTACGGGCAAAATATGTCCCATTTCTTAATTTAACCCCACACAACATTAAGCATTCCCAAGGAAGGCGAGAAGGCAGTGGTTTGACGAAAGATACGCAGAGATCCTGGAAAGTCATTCACAGTGAGTACATACTAATTATCACATGTCACATATACATCGGGAAACACACTCAAACTGTTCAATATTCAGGATCAAAATGACATTAATCCACCCTAAGACATGTTATGTTACATAGTCTCTAAGCGGACATACAAAATAATGAAATTCGTTTGTCAGTGGTTTGTTAACATGTCATACAAGTAAATGAGGAGAAATGCCGATTTTGTCGATAAAGGTGCAGGTAGTCTAGGCCTGTGTAATGTGTAGGCCTGTGTTGGAAGAACAATATGACCTGTGTTCAGTCAAGTGTACGTGTAAGTTCTAGCTAGGCCCAACAGCCACTAGACATTTACGTCCTCGGTAAATATAGAATAAGATGCGAGATAACATGGATATTAGGATGTATTACTGTCACCAACTTCTAACCATTTGTGGTTGGTTGGTTTGTTGTTTTACGCCGCACTCAGCAATATTCCAGCTATATGACGGCGGTCTGTAAATAATCGAGTCTGGACCAGACAACCCAGTGATTAATATCATGAGTATCGATCCGCGCAATTGGGATCGATGACATGCATCAACCAAGTCAGCGAGCCTGACCACCCGATCCCGTTAGTCGCCTTTTACGACAAGCATAGTCGCCTTTTACGGCAAGCATGGGTTGCTGAAGACCTATTCTACCCCGGATCTTCACGGGTCCTAACCATTTGTGAACTAAATGAGTTTGTGTAAGAGAACAGAACCAGAACATAAATCAGGTGTAAAGTAAATGGCTCAAGTAAAGTAAATGACTCATACTTTTACAAAAGCCTCGATCTAATATATATTTTAATGAGTGGAAGGTTTTATGTTAACTTAAATAAGTATAGTATTAAAACATTATCTACATATTTAAGGCATGTTATATGTTCACTATATATATAAGGTGCCATTGTCCACAGGGACAGCACCTGGCTTCGGAGTCTTCCTCCTTCCTTATATAACATTTGTTTACTACCTTATATTTTTATTCAAAGATAACCACAAACACAGTTGTGTGCAGCAACCTTTTCATGAAGGATGACTTCAAACAGACACCCATCAGGAAGACACTGAAGCCAGGTGCTGTTCCCTCAGTGTTTCAGTGGACTGTGGACAATGGCACTTCTGGCAGGAAGCCAGCCTCCAGGAGACACTCTTGCCATAGAGGTAAGGAAATGTCAATTGTAAACAGTCTATACATCAGCTGTTTGCTGCAAATCTGCGTAACATGTTCAAGTATATATGACACGTATGTACGTAATAAAAACGTTAATAAATAATTAGAGGGCAATCTAGTGACCATAACTGAAATATATGTTTTTTGTATTTAAGATGAAGGTGATTAAGGTTTTGGTTTGGTTTGTTGTTTAACGCCGCACTCAGCAATATTCCAGCTATATGACGGCGGTCTGTAAATAATCGAGTCTGGACCAGACAATCCAGTGATTTACATCATGAACATCAATCCACGCAATTGGGATCGATGACATGCATCAACCAAGTCAGCGAGCCTGACCACCCGATCCCGTTAGTCGCCTTTTACGACAAGCTGGTCGCCTTTTACGGCAAGCATGGGTTGCTGAAGACCTATTCTACCCCGGAATCTTCACGGTGATTAAGAGTGACGGTGAATGAATCTCCGAAACTTTCAACAGCTGAGGTATCCCCATAAGGAGTCCACAACAGTCACCATATCAGATACAGTAAGAATGACAAGGATGTTACATGTAAATAAATTTTGACATTTGACGCACCTTTTAATGAGATGTTAATGATCACAAAATACCTGATTTCTATATCCTATATCATACAAACATTAAATTTTATATATTTTCTCAAAAGAATTAAATGATTTTTAGCCCATACAGAAATGCACCTTATTTGTAATTCCAGAGACATTTTGTGTTATTTGTGTTCTCCGAGAAGTAATATTGATAATAATGTGTATGTTATAGTGAAGCAGATTGTGATGCAGTGGCCACTGACCCCGAGCCCCACACAGCCCAATCAGAAACTACAGTAAAATACGGTTATAACGAACTCAAAGGGACTACAAATTTTAGTTCGTCTTAACCGTAGTTCGTTATAAGCATATATACAGCATAACTACAGCAAATAGTCGGGACCAAAAAAGTAGTTAGTTATATCCGTCAGTTCGTTATAAGTGTGTTCGTTATAACCGTAGTTTACTGTACATGAACAGGAGAGGCAACTCAAGGAAAAGGATGACACAATTGAAGAGTTCCTTAACCCATATGTGATGATAAATTGCTTGAAAATTATACAGGATTTCCATCATTTCAAACATTGCAAGCATTTTTTGATTTCATCAAACCGACAGCATCTAACATACGAGGTATGTTCTACAAAGGTGAATCCTGTCTTCGAAAGACAGACAATTCTCACCCTATTCCATTATTTGATGAGTTATTCATGTTTCTTGTCAGAATTAAGCTAGGTTCAAGTGAAGTAGATTTATCTGCTAGGTTCAATTGTCATGTCTCCACCATAAGTAGGCTTGGTTGGTTGGTGTGTTGTTTAACGCCGCACTCAGCCATATTCCAGCTATATGACGGCGGTCTGTAAATAATCGGGTCTGGACCAGACAATCCAGTAATTAATGTCATGAGCATCAACCCACGCAATTGGGATTGATGACCGTGCATCAACCAAGTCAGCGAGCCTGACCACCCGATCCCGTTAGTCGCCTTTTACGACAAGCATAGTCGCCTTTTACGGCAAGCATGGGTTGCTGAAGACCTAGTCTACCCCGGAATCTTCACGGGTCCCATAAGTAGGGCATTGACTTTAATTTAATTTACTCTCCTTTGTTTTTGATAGCATTAACATTTGGCCTTCTGCTCCTGAAAATATGTCTGAAGACATATATGTCTGAATATGTGTGGGATCGGGTGGTCAGGCTCGCTGACTTGGTTGATGCATGTCATCGTATTCCAGTTGCGTGGATCAATGTTCATGATGTCAGTCACTGGATTGCCTGGCCCAGATTCTATTATTTTACAGACCGCCGTCATATAACTGGAATACTGCTGAGTGCGGCGTTAAACAACAAACAAACAAACTATGGCAAAGTCACTCCCAAACTTTCAAAGAG